CTACTACTACTACTACTACTACTACTACTACTACTACTACTACTACTACTACTACTACGACTACTACTCCGACTACGACTACTACTACTACTACTACTACTACTACTACTACTACTACTACTACTACTACTACTACTACTACTACTACTACTACTACGACTACTACTACTACTACTACTACTACTATTACTACTACTACTACTACTACTACGACTACTGCTGCTATTACTACTACTACTACTACTACTACTACTACCACCAGCTACTAACTACTACTACTGCTACTACCGAATTACTACTACACTACTACTACTACGACTACGAACTACTACGGACAACGAACTACTAATACTACTTCCTACTACACTACTACGACTACTAAGAACTACGAAACGACGACGACGACGACTGACGACGACGACGACGACGAACGCCACGACGACGAACGACGACGACTGACGACGACGACGACGACGACGACGGCGACGACGACGACGACGACGACGACGACGACGAGCGACGACGACGACGACGACGACGACGACGACGACGACGAACGACGACACGACGACGACTACGACCTGCGACTATACTACTGCCCCTCCCCCTCCCCCTCCCCCTCCTCACCCCATCCTCCCCCATCCTCCCCCCTGTTCACGCTCCGCCTCCGCCATTCCCAACCCCCTCCTCCTCCTCCTCCTCCTCCTCCTCCTCCGCTCTCTGGGTGAGGTTCGTCCTGTGCGGCCTTCTGCCCTCCGAGGCGAGCGGCTCTCCACGGGGGGGGCTTTCGGGCTTTCGGGGGCCCTCGTGCGCACGAGGTCGCTCCCTCGGCCACTCTGCCAATTGGCACGCTCGAGTTTCGTCGGGCGTGTCCCTCGACCGGAGGAAAAAACTCAAAGACAGTCCACAAATTGTCTGGGGACGCTGTTTCGACTGCTGCTGGGTATGTTGGGGCATGCTTGGAGTACTCCTGATCTTGTCGCCCCAGAATCCGCCTCCGGGGGGACACGCCCGACCTCATTCTGCCATTCGGACGCCCGAGCCCGTCGCTCGGGGGCAGCAGCCCCGTCCTCCGCGCTGCGCGCTGCCCCCCCGGGGGGGGGGGGGTCGGCACCCCGAGGAGCAGGGCGACCGCGAGGACAAGCAGGCCGCGGACGAGGACGCGAAGAAGGCGACCCCTGGGGACCGGGGAACCGGGCGAGCCCTGTGAAAAGATTCCGAGCAATCTGAAAAGTATTTGCCCAAGAATTCGAGGGTTTTCACGCCTTTGGCCTTGATCGCCAGAAAGCTTGATGCTAGCCTTGATTGCTAGCCTTGATCGCCTGTAGCCTTGATCGCCGAGATGTTCCAACCTACTTTTAGCCTTGACCGCCAGAAAGAATCCCGAGCACCCGAAAAGTGCCCAAGAACTCTACGGTTTTCACGCGTCGGGCCCCTGGAGGCACTCGTCCGACGCCGTTTCGGCACTCTTTCGACGCGTTTCCGGGTGCTCGGAATCCTGTCTGGGATGTGGTCCTTAAGTATGATGGGGGCAACATAAGGCGAGCCCCAAAGGAGGAGGATCGTAATGCAAGCGTTAAGTCGGGCGTGTCCCTCCACGGGAGGAATATCCCAAAATAGTCAAGTAGTATGGGGACAATGTTCGGCCTGTTTTTGAGCATTTGGAACATATGTTTGACTATGTTTGATTTGTGTCGCCCCAAACCCCCCTGTAGGGGGACAGGCCCGACCTGAGACTGGGGACTGGGCGAGCCCAAAGGGTGGGGAAATGTCATGCAGGTGTCCGAACAGGGGTGCGCGCACACTCACGACGGGCGACGCCACGCCACGGCACGTTCTTGGTCAATTACTCACTGCGTGGGGTTCCCCATATGTGCATCTCATGTTTTATGCCATGCCAGAGCGAGCGACTGTTCATGAGCGTGTGACTATAATAGCGCATCCACATGGGCGACAGGGCCGACGAAGACGAGTGAATCCTAATGCGAGCGAACCCCATCTTAGGATATGGTCAACAAAAAGCCGACTGGCACTCTGCAGTCGGCGAAAGCAGAGCATGCGATACACCCGCGCTGCTGTGTGTGTCTACCACCGTACTTGGGGCTACAGGGAGCAGGAGGCGTACATGATACATCTCACTCAGCTGACAGAGTTTCTCAAGGGGTGCCAGAGAATCTATACTTCTGGCGCATGCAGTTTGCGATCATTTGCGTCATCCCCTCCTGTTTGTGATTCGAACGCAGGTGGGTGACATGCAGGCGTTCTATGTTCTCTATCAGATGCCGCCCCACCGATACTCATAGAAAGGCAACGCAGGGTGCATCATGCGAGTTTGTGTAAAGCTGAACCTCTTGTTTACAATGCGGAGAGGTTCCAGGGTGGCCCAGAATGCCCTGGGGTCGTCGCGAGGCTCTGAGAGGGGTCAGAGGGGGCTCTTCGGTGGGTCCCGAAGGAGTTGATTGAGCAGTGGCTATGACGGGCGGGCGGGCATTCCCTGTTCAGGGCTAACCTCGAAGATCCGTGATATGTTGTTAGTGCCATACGGGAGTTTATACGATGAGGCCCACGTCCCAGACATACCAGGCACTATGTTGCTCTCCAGGCGACGTTGAAGTTATACACCTTGTATTGATTGGATTTCGGCCCATCCCACCACTTTGCCTGGTTCGTTGGCAAGAGGCCTCCTGGATGCCTCTTGGAGATCTTGAAGCCCTCGTGGGGGGCCTGACTTGGGGCCCTGGTGGGGGCCTCTTGGGGGCGGGCTCCGGGGGCTTTGTGGGGGCATCTTGGGGGCCTGCTGGTTATAAATGCAGTTCGAGTCTCCCCTCTTTGGGCCCTTCTGGGGATCTTCCCTGGAGCCTCCTGGGCCCTCATGGATGGCCTCGGGTGCCTTTTTTTGGGAGGGCCGGCAGGGGGGGGGCTTTTTGACAACGCTGCCAAGAACAAAATGCTGACTTGAGTTTGGACCTCTGGGTCCAGCCTCCATCGCCTCCAAGACGGCCCAAGAGGGCCTCATCCCTACGACTCGAGAGACACGAGTTGGCTCGCATCTGAAACCAGATCCGGAGATGCTGTGAAAGCAAGGATGGAGCATTGAGCGAGGAAGGCGGGAGAGCGTGTCGGGCGTGAGCGGGCTGGGGTTGCGGAAGCGGCCACCAGTGAACGATGGCAGGGGCAGGGTTGCGGCCGGCCTCAGAGCGGGGAGCGGGCGGCGAGAACAGCGGGAGGAAGCCGCAGAGTACCGTCGGAACCAGTGAGCGTTTTCTTATTCCTTGTGTTGCCGATCGGCGCGGCCCCCCCGCCCCCCCCCCATGGAGCAGGTATCGGCCAGGGCTGGGCCTGAACGGTTTCTGGCCATCTCGTGGGCCGTTTTGTCTTTCGTCTCGCTTGGCATTCGAGGCGAAGCGCAAAGGCAAACCGAAGAGTACGAAACACAGCGAGCGAGGACGAGGAGCACCGCTCAGTCGAGGGGAGGAGGAGGAGGAGGAGGAGGAGGAGGAGGAGGAGGAGGAGGAGGAGGAGGAGGAGGAGGAGGAAGGAGGAGGAGGATGGGGGAGAGGAGGAGGGGGGCGCCTGCGTCGAGCAGGTGGCGGCAGCACGGGGGGGGGGCCCGCCGCCTCCTCCCCCCCCCGCCCCACTGGAATCGCGAATCGCTGTTTCGCGGGACGGCTTCTAGTAGGCCTCCTAGATGGGGTCGGAGGAGCCTCCTCCTTCTCCTCCTCCTCCTCCTCCTCCCTCCTGCTCCTCCTCCTCCTCCTCCTCCTCCTCCTCCTCCTCCTCCTCTCCTCCTCCTCCTCCTCCTCCCCCGCCTCCTAGATGGGGTCGGAGGAGATGGGGTCGGGGGATCGCGCCGCATCTCCGATGCATCGCCGATGCATCGGCGGTGCATCGGTGATGCGGCTTGATGTGGGGCACAGTCTTCTCCACGCCGACGTCGCCGATGCATCGCCGGCGTCGCAGGCGCATGGCCGATGCATCGCCGATGCATCGCCGATGCATCGCCGATGCAGCGGCGATGCGGCGCTCCTCCGACCCCGTCTACTCGGACCCCATACAGGAGGCCTCTCAAGTGTGGCGCTGTGTCTTCGGGGCGCCCCTCGGGAAAGCAGCCGAGGGGCTCCAGAGCGCCGGACGCGCTGCGGTCGGATTCTCACAAGGCCGGGGCAGATCTCCAGGTCCGGAGGACTCGAATCGGAGTGGGACAGATCTCGAATCCAGAGGGCTCCCGCTGGATACCAGTAGGTTCCAGTTGGGATTTAAATCAGAAACAAGCGGACCCTAGATAAACTGATAGTATTCTGATTTGTATTCCGACTGAGTTCCAACTGGAATGGAGCAGATCCCAGATCCAGAGGATTCCAATTGGATTTCAATGGATTCCACTGGGAATCCGAGAATATGGAGCGGACACTAGATCCAACCAGAGGTCCAAACAAATGCACTAAGCAGGGGCCCAGAGCCAGACCCTCCCCTCCCCCCTTTTGCTAAATGTCGAAACACACAATGAAAAAAGAAACGTAGAATTTCTCAATGGTGCCAGGGCGGAAGCTTCGGTTTTTTCCGTTTTGGTGTACGCATATTTCCCGGATGGCCGTGTTTCTCATCAGCATTGGGGCACACATCTCCCGTGCGAAGTGAGAGGAGCGAGGAGGAGGAGGAGGAAAAGGAACGGGAACATGAGAAGGAGGAGGAGGAGGAGGAGGAGGGGGAGGATAAAGAGGACGATGTCGGCGACGACGACGGCAACGACAACATGTGAGGGACGGAGGCATATGTAAACACCACGCGCGTGAACACGTTGGACCGCTTCTACCAGAAGCGCATCGAGAATGAGCAGAAGGACGCCCCTCCTGTTCGGTGCACGGCACGGGGCGTGGCCTGCGTAGGTGCCGCGCCCCACTCGGCGCGATGCCGCCGTGCCCTCATGTCGAGGCGAGTCGGGGGCAACGGAAACGGACTCCTCCGCCTCCTCCGCCTCCTCCGCCTCCGCCTCCGCCTCCTCCTCCTCCTCCTCCTCCTCCTCCTCCTCCTCCTCCTCCTCCCCCTCCTCCTCCTCCTCCTCCTCCTCCTCCTCTCCTTCTCCTCCTCCTCCTCCTCTCTCCTCCCCTCCTCCTCCTCCTCCTCCCCCTCTTTCCCCCCCCTCCACCTCCTCCTCCTCTTCCTCCTCCTCCTCCTCCTCCTCCTCCTCGCTTTCCCCCCCCCCTCCACCTCCTCCTCCTCGTCCTCCTCGTCTGCGTACAGGCCCGGGCGCCGTCCGCGCGAGACGCTAGCCCCGGCGGGGGGGCCCCTCCCGGCCGGAGCTCCCGAGAGGTCCAGAGGGGAAGCAGGTACCGCCCGCCATTCCGAGAGCCCTTCGGGGGGGGGCCTCCTCCTCCTCCTGCTCCACCTCCTCCTCCTCCTCCTCCTCCTCCTCCTCCTCCTCCTCCTCCTCCTGCTCCTCCTCCTGCTGCTCCCCTCCTCCTCCTCCACCACCTGGGCGACCCCCTTGGGAGGCGCACGCCCCCAGCGTCACCCAGCACAGCGCGACGCTCGGGCGTGCCGCCGCCCAGGGGTCGCGCCCCCGCCCCCCCCCCCTCCTGGACCGCCGATGGGTTCTCGGTGGCCGTGGCCCCTGTCCCCGGCGTAGCTGCCTCGATACGCCCGTTTTGATACGCAACACGTGCCGTGCTCAAAACGTCCGCGTCGATGCGTTGCGTGCTGGCTCCGCGTATTGGACCACGTTTTGGCGAATGCATCGCGTCGGACCTACGTTTTCAGCCTACGTGTTGAGCTCCGTATCAATACGATACGTGTTGCGTGTTGCGTATCGGGGCATCTAAGATCCCCAGACCTCCGACGTCGCAATCCGTTCCAACCGCGATCTGTTCCAACCGCAGTCCCCCCGAGACCAGGACCGCTTCCTGCCCCGGGACCGGCCTTTCGTCGGGATTCGTGGTTCAATGGTCTTGGGGCCCTCCTCCGCCTCTTCCTGCTCCTCCGCCTCTTCCTGCTCCGCCTCCTCTTCCTGCTCCTCCTCCTCCTCCTCCTCCTCCTCCTCCTCCTCCTGCCTCCTCCTCCTTGTTGTTTCTCGTTCCTCCTCCTCCTCCACCTCCTCCTCCTCTTAGAAAGGACAGACATGCCGATGTGTTGTTCCTCAGCGAGGGGAGGCAGGGTGGTTTCTCCTCCGAGAGGTTGGGTGGAACTGGGACTGGGCCGGCTAGATTCGCGCTTCGCGCCACGCGCCTCGAGAAGCGTCCGCGCGATCGTGTTCGTGCCACCTTGAGGCCGACAAGAGAGGAAGGAGGAGGAGGATGAGGAGGAGGATGCACCCCTGGGGGGTCCTCCGCGCTCGTGGCCAGCTTCTTCTTCGGCATAGCTCGCTGAGCTTGAGGGCCGCCCGTCGCCGAGTCGAGGAACGCTGCTGCGGACGGGGCCCGCTTCGGGTGTGCACGCCGGGAGGGCGCGGCGGGAGGGGGGCCCGCCGTCGAGCCCGCCGTGTGTTTGCCGACTCTCCGGTGCAAGAGTGTGTCGGTGAAGGGGCCCTGGGACACACAAATATAAATAGACACAAACAAAAAGATGCCCCACATTTCCCCATATCTTCTGGGTTTTTGTCTTCCCCCCCACTTCCCATATTTTCCCATATTTTTGGGGGAGTCGAGGGTTAATTGTGTCTGTGTGTTTTTTCCCCTCCTGAGTTGGGAATGCACCGCGCAAACGATGCGGAAATGCAGAGCGGACGTTGTCGCCCCCGAAAAGTAGCGCGGAAGCCGCGACGACAAAGTGCGGCGGAGGTCGGCATCAAAGGAGCTTGGAGGTCAGGTGGACGTTTCCGCCCTGATTGCGACATCGCACACGGCGCGGCGGATCCGGAGTCGCAGGGCTCGTTTCGATTCCTCCGATTCGATTCGATTTCGATGGATTCCGATTCCGATCCGATCCGATCTGGGATTCCGATCTGGGATTCCGATCTGTGTTCCGATCCCTCAATGGAGGCCTACTAGCCTGCCGATCTCCGCCGATTCTCTTTCTCCCGACTCGGCTGCCGATTTCTTCCGATCCGATGTATTTCCGATTTCCTCCGATGCATTTCGATTGCCGATGTATTTCCCGATTTGTGTCACTGGCCGATCCGACTCATCGATTCGATTCTGGGCTCATCTTGCAGGCGTGGGGGTCGGAGGCCAAACACAATTGGCACCAGCACCTGTGTGTGGCCGTTTTTTTTGTGCTCATTATTTTGCCCATCGGCGCGGGCCCTCGCCCCCCCCTCCCCTCCCGACACAGAAAGCATTTTTTTTTGTTGTTTCTCTCTCTCTCTCTCTCAGAAGAAGAAGACGACGACGACGAGGAAAAATCAGAAGAAGAAGAAGAAAAAACGCTATAAACATAAACTGTCGGCGCTCCGCGCGGTTTCTTGGCTCTGCGCTGGAGTCTCCGCCGCCTGAGTCCGCGACGTCGCCCAGGGCGCGGCGGCTCCGGAGTCGGGGGTCGGAGAGGATGTGGGCCCCAGGGGCCAGGCTCGGAGGCCCAGAAACATTGGCGCCCACACGGAGGAGGAGGAGGAGGAGGAGGAGGAGGCGGCGGAGGAGGCGGAGGAGGAGGAGGAGGAGGAGCAGGAGGAGGAGGAGGAGCAGGAGGAGCAGGAGGAGGGAACAGGTATTTCTGGCCGTCCTGTTGTGTTCATTATTTTGCCCATCGGCACGGGCCCTCGCACCCTCCTCCTCCTCCTCCTCCTCCTCCTCCTCCTTTCAACGCTTTCAACGCCGCCACAGTCTCCCGCATCCGAAGCGCAAGAGACCGAGCAAATAAAACAGACTTACTCCTCCCTGATCCTGACTTGGGAGCTGCGACCGAACAGACACCTCGAACTGGGGTCCTTGCCCGCCAGAAGCATCGACAGACTCTTCACTGCCGCCACGTTCCGAGGCCGTCCAGTGCATTTCTCCTTCAAGAATCGGGAGCGTAGGACCCCGAACGCCGCGCATCTCCGACACCACACAATTCTCCCAGAGGGCCCCGAGCCCATCCTGAGCACGTGGGAGGGGTGTGCCGACGCAGCGATCTTGGGGATCCCACGGCAGGGGAACGCAGCGAGGCCTCCTCTGGACTTCGCTCGCTCCCCGCAGATGTCACACACATAAGCTTTGCCTTCCCTACAGATCGTATGTCCGTTGGGCTCAGGAATTAAGTCAAGCTGAGGGGCGTCAGGGGAGGGTCGGGGGGCCTTGGACTTGGCCTTGCAACGCTCCACGTCCCTCAACCCCCCCCCGAGACACTTCCCCCAGCATGAGTCCTAAAAACTTCCCTACCTGTTTGATTCCTGTGCACACTGACCGATACCAGGAACGGAGGGCCTCGGGCTGTTCCTGCAGCAGGGTGCCGTCCCGAGCCAGGTGGTCGGCCGTCCTGTTGCCGATCCACGCGTAGAACGGGTAACCTTGGACCTGCGCCTGGTTCCAAGAGAGGTGAGAACGTATCTTGCAAATCGAAATCTGGTGCCAGCCTATGTCCAGAGCTTTGGCCACGACCTTGACCCAAACCTCAGAAAACGCAAGGCCAGAGGCATCCTGTTCAGGGCCGAAGGCCTAAGCTCCATACATCCACTAAAACCTTACAGTCCGTCCAGATTTCCAGGGGACCGGCGTCGGCATGCAAGAGGGCCATGTACAGGGCCCAAAGCTCACCCCCCATGTTGGTCTGCACAGGGTGGGGGAGAGGCCCAAACATGCTACCCAAGACCTGGCCTCCAGGGTCCACACACCGCGGCCCACCCAGCTCGAGAGAGCCACGGGAGCGTGGGGTCGAGGGCGGATCCGACAAGGCACACGATACCTCCAAGTCGGCCAGAACTGGGGAAAGTGCGCCACCTCCAGGGTTGCTGAACTAGGGGGCTGGGTGAGAAAAAAAACGCCGAAGACATCAGCCCCCTAGTGTAGAGCCGCCATTTCGGGGAGGTGGCCGACTCTCCAGCGGTGCTGCTTAGTGCCCCACGGGTGCCCACAAGCCAGACAGGCTGAGTTACACGACGTTCTATCAAGATAAAGGTCGACCTGGGCGGCCATCCCCCCCGATTCAACAGCAGACAGGAGCGAGGCATCCAGCCTTTTACCCACAGCTCGGAATTCTTGACACACCTCCTGAAGTGGCTCCAGGAGGGGCACGAAAGGTTCTACACAACCTAGGCAAGCCTCATCGTTGAGTGTCAGGTCCCGTAGAAGAGCGCCCTTGGTCCCAGAGCCGATGATGGCTTTCACGGTCCTGGACCCATATTCACATACGTCCAACGTCAGCCCACTCTGTGTCTCCCAAGAACACCAGCTAATACTTCTCCAACCTAATCTCCGAAGGGTCGCCAGTGTGGCCCCTGTGGGCCCATTGACCTTCTGCCAGGGAGGGCCCCCGTCGGCCCCCAAGGTGTCGAAGACCAGCTTCATCTCAGCAGCAGGGGCCAAGCCTAGCCTAGCCGCGGTGCAAGCCGTGAGGGGAGCCGAGTTGCCCACGTAGGCGGGGTCCGCCAACGGCGTCGGCGACAGCATGCATCCTATGGTACGACTCCTGCCCTTGGCCTTCCCGAAGAGGGACTCGCCTGCAGCCGAACGAAGCATCCTCAGGGTGCGGTCGGAGACGCCCATGACCGAGGCGCCATGCAGTCCTGCAGGGTTGGCTCCTGCGCGGACGATCTTGGTAAGCTTGACGAACGAAGACCGAAGGGCTCGGAACCTGTGGGCCCGTTTGCGGATCTTTGAAACTCTGGAAGCCTGGGCGAGGTTACGACGAGCCTTGCCCATCGTGAAATCGACCCCCAGATTCTTGACAACCGAGGCGCCCTGGAACCCCCACCGAGTGAGATTCCGAGTGGCC